AACATCCAGAGGGGAGAAGACAGGGTCAGACCCTGCCTTACAGGCCCAGGAGGGGTCTCAAGTACTGAGTGACCACATGCTTAGATGCCCACCTGTTTGGCAAACCATTCCTCCACATCCCTGCGGTTGGTCTCCACCAGGGCCTCATACTGAGACCTGGTCTCATTCAGCACACGGTTCAGGTCCACAGTGGGAGCAGCATCCACCTCCACATTGAGGCGGTCTCCAAGCTGGCTTTTCAGGGAGTTGACTTCCTGAAGGAGCAAGGGGAAGGAAATAACCCACAGAATGGATCTGCTACCTTCCTACTATAGAAGGTACCCAACCCTGATTGTTCACAAAGACTGACATGTATATTATGCTGGAACAAACTCAAATAGGGGTCACATCAACTCTTGGTCAAAAAAAAAAAAAACAACCTGGAATCACTTCACATTTCCTATAGGCTAGGTCCCAATTCTTTGGTTATGTAGTTCTTGCCACATTTCCCAGCCACACTGACTCATTGGCCATACTCAGATACACCCTGCTCTTCTACTTCTACAACTTTGATCTGTCTCTTCGCTTAGACTGTAACACCCAAGTATTGAAATATTCCTCCTGCTTCAACACTTGCCTGTGAAAGGAGTTCCCTGTCTTGTTTCAGACCAACTGGATTCTTTCCAGAACATGATGGTCATGCATCTCATGACACTTCAGTGTACCTTGTACTGATGCTAACTCCGCACTATGCTATGGGCCCTTTGAAGATAGGAGTCATTTCTTTGGGGGGGGGGTTCCCTTCCATCTCCAGCACTAAGCTCAGGACCTCACAGTGACCAGCAGAGAATAAGATTTAATGTTTTTCGCCACATCTCTAACACTTGCCCGACTCTGGACCAACTGCTTGAAGAACTAGCAGCCACCTCTCTCCTTGTGTGGATGTAGTGATCATTCTCTAGCTAAATTTAAGTTCTTTGGTACAGGGGTCCCAGGCCAGAGAACTGATCAGGTGTGGCTTCCTGGTTCCCAGTACTAACAGCTTCTCTTTGAAGCCTTTTTATTTTCCTCTCACCTCCTCGTGGTTCTTCTTGAGACACAGCAGCTCCTCTCTCAGGGACTCCACCTGGGTCTCTAGGTCAGCCTTGCACAGGGTCAGTTCATCCAGGATCCTGCGTAGGCTGTTGATGTCAGACTCCACCAGCTGCCGCAAGGACAGCTCTGTCTCGTACCTTCAAACACAAATTGGAGTTGGAGGATGATCCAGGTAAGAAGCCCACCTCCCTGTCCCGTGTTTTATTTAGAGGACATCATCTTGACTCTCTTTAAATTTATAGTGCTTTCTGCCTGTTGTCATCAATTTGTTTCCCTTGAGCAACGTCTGGATTGTCTGGCAAGGACTTCTGACTCACCGTAGCATGCGGAGGTATCTGAGGGCACTTGTGTGATGGACTTTCTTACTTCCCTCTCAGTTGTCTTAGTCTGATCTTTAAGACCAACTGATTTAAATCTCTGAACTTGGGGATTTGTAAAGCCCTTTCAGAAAGATTAATATAGACTGAAGGGCAGCTAGCACAGGGGTATGGATTCCTATTTGAAACTGATTTTACATAATCAGACTTGAGAGGAAAAATAAAGAGGGGCAAAGGGCTTTGTCCTCCCTTCTAGGCAACAGTAGGGCCACAGGGCAATGAAAGAGCTATAGGGACCTTAGCTGTTATCAGAGCCAAAAGTCTCAACATACTTGGTTCTGAAGTCATCAGAGGCCAGCTTGGCATTGTCGATCTGTACCACCAGCCTGGAATTCTCAGACTTGGCACACAGAATCTGAAAAAAAGATTCTAAGGTGAGGATCATTTGAACTTGAGAACATCTTCTTGTTCAAAGAGGGACAGCTTCCCCTGTGCTCCCTCAAAGTCCATCCCTTCACCTTCTGCTGAAGCTGCTCAATGGTCCGGAAGTAGGACTGGTAGCTCGGGCACGCATAGGGCACCTGCTCCTGGCAAAACTCCTGGATGCGGCCCTCCAGCTCTGCATTCTCCCGCTCCAGCTGGCGCACCTTCTCCAGATAGCTGGCCAGGCGGTCATTCAGGAACTGCATGGTCTCCTTCTCATTGCCATTGAAGGAGCCCTCACAGAGCCAGCCACAACTGCCCACAGAGGCAGGGATGTTGCAGGCCCCGGGCAGGGTGCAGCCGTGACAGCTGGGGGGCACACAGGGCCGGGCAGAACAGGTGGTGCAGCAGCTCATGTTGGGCAGGAAGCAGGTGTACAACTAGTGCTGAGAGAGGTGATAGAAGAGCAGGTGAACCTGGAAGTGGACGTAGGTGAGGAATGAGCCTCCCTTTCCTCCATGGTCCTTTTATATCCTTAATGGTGGGTGGGGGCTTGGCATGTAGCACAGTTTTATTTCCTCAATACTTCAACTAATTTTTCTCCAAAATATGCTAGTTAGATGCCTGCAAAGAGTCCCCCCTCATCCCATAAAAGTATTCCATTCAGCTTATGTCACATCGGGCTCCTCCTGGAAGCTGGTGGTTGGTGAAATCAGATTCCAAGCATCAGATGGCTTCAAAGCATGCAGAATCATCACAACCCCAATGGCCCTTCCCATTACTCAGAGGGTAAGACAGTAAAAGCATGAGGTGGGGTTGTTTGGGAATCAAAAACTCTTCAGATATAGATTTTTGCCACCAGTGCCCTGAAAATAGAGCTGAAGTGAATACATTTTTAGGTGGCCCTCTCCTCCAAGTCCTCACACATTTCAGCATTAAGTCAAACCTGTCTGTCCTTAAAGTAAACACTCACTGTGTATTAGCTGCAAGGATCCTGAGCATTACTCAATGAGAGTATTGGTTGGGGTTTAGGTAATTTGCCTATACCTGGAGGGATTGGAAATAATTGAATGTTCATGGTTGGGAAATAAGAAAGTAAAATAGAAACTGACTGACTGGTGGAAGTAGTACTTTACAGAAAAAGTTTGCAAGCAGGAATCAGAAAACTACAGTCCATGGACAAGTTTGGCCTGCCACCTGCTTTTGTTTTGTTTTGTTAAGTTTTTATTGTGTATTGAGTGAAGGTTTACAGACAACCTCATCAGTTTTGCATTCACCAAATCATAAACTGTCTCATCTCAATGATTACAATGCCCTCCATGTAACAAGTTTTCCCACTTCCTCCCTGTGGTTCTTAGTCTCATTCCACTCTCCTTCCCATCCTTTCTTAACTCTGTCCACAGGTAAATGTTGCCCTTTTGATTTTAAATGATTGACCATTCCATGGTGAACAAAACTTAGTAGAGTTGTTGTCCCTTCTCTGTGTCTATCTACTTCTTGGTTGAAAATTGGACCATGAGGGTGAATTCCATTCCAGACCTGTAGGGTGGTCAAGGACCACAGTCTCAGGTTCCTCCAGTCTATTTCTAACCAGCAAGCCCAGCCATTTTTTGTTTATGACTTTTCTCCCATTCTATCCAGGAACTTCTAATGTGATTCCTTTCAAAGCAGCTGGTAGTGGGAGCCGGGCACCATCTAGTTCTTCTGGTCTCAGAGTCATGGTGACTGATGTTCACCTGCTCCATCAGTCTAGTTGGTTCCAAGCATCTTCAAATTTTCATCACTCATCTTTCTTCTGCACATGGGGAGACCATTAATTGCCCCTTCAATGACTGCTCATGAGATTTTAAGATCCAGTCAATACTCACCAAAGTATGATGTAGAACAATGTTTTTGTAAATAAACTGTTATTAGAACAAAATCACCCTCATTCATTCACATACGGTTTGTAGCTGCTTTATGGTGTTCTGGCGTGGGTCTGTAGAATAAGCTTTTAACCACAAGGTCAGTTTGAACTACAAGGTCAGCAGTTCAAACTCACCTGACACTTCTTGGAAATACAGGGTCACTATGAGTCAAAACCAACTCAACAGCACTTACCAACAACAGTATGACTGCTTTTATCATAATAAACAAAAAATTGAAGTTGCCAAAGACTTCATTTTGCTTAGCTCCACACTCAATGCTCATGGAAGCAGCAGTCAAGAAATCAAACAACATATTGTATTGGGTAAATCTGATGCAAAAGTATTAAAGAGCAAAGATGTCACTTTAAGAACCAACATGCCTGACTCAAGTCATGGTATTTTCAGTCACTTCATATGCCTGTGGAGGTTGGATAGTGAATAAGAAAGCTTGTAGAATAGTCAATGCTTCTGAATTATGATGATGGTGAAGAATATTGAAAGGACCATGGACAGCCAAACAAACAAATCTGTCTTGGAAGACGTACAGCCAGAATGCTCCTTAGAAGCTAGGATGGCAAGATTGCATCTCTCGCACTTTGAACATGTTGTCAGGAAGGACCAGTTCCTTAAGAAGAATATCATGCTTGGTAACGTTGTTGTTGTTAGGTGCCATCAAGTCAGTACCAACTCATAGTGACCCTATGCACAGCAGAATAAAACACTGCCCGATCCTGGGCCAACTTCACAATTGTTGCCATGCTTGAGCTCATTGATGCTGCCACTTGGCCAATCCATCTC